TAGCTACCACTTCTAATTTCTTCTACGATTAAAAACAAAACGTATTTTAATAAGACGTTGTTTTTTGACAATAAAAATACCGATTATGCAAAGCAATGGCTTGATAAGTGTTACGTCAAATCTACCACAGCATATTCAACCATCAGGGTCTGGGTTATTAAATTTTGCCGCAACCGTACCGGATCAAATTATGCACTCCTTTCAATGAAGGTCACAAGAGGCACTAACGCCAGAAATCATTCCGAAATTTCGTGAAATATTGTTGAGCAAACATGAAATAAAATTAGTGACTTGATAACATCATCGGTATTTTATACATCAATAGAAGAGACATCGACAGAAAAAATCGAAGGAAAAATTCTTGAATCAAACGCAAGTTCTGCAAGTTTCTGCATTAATATACAGTTTTACCGTGCATTATTGAATGGATTAGACGTCGATATCAAAGTTATACCAACGACTTTTCAGCCCATATTTTACACACGATTTACTAATATTACAAAACGTGAAATGCCACCGATGTGTGGCGAAAAATATTTTACTACTCTAAATTGTTTTTTTTTTTTGCTTAGAAAATATAAATTTTTTTTTAATTAAAAACTTAAAACCTAAATTAGCCTTCATATTTATTAAACAATGGTAACTAAGCGATCAGTCAGTTTTGTTATATATCACATTTATACCGATCCTCGAATTCAAAGAGAGCAAAGGAATAAAGGAAATTTTACAAACACTCACCAAAACTATAACGGAAATATAGATCGTATACATTTTAATTTATATGAGAAATTCGCTAAACTGGTCTTGATGCGAAGATGCGAGACGATAATGTTAAGCGTAATAACAGCAACCGCATATACTCAAGTTGTAATTGAAGGGCGACCAAAGGGAATGCCATATACACTCTGAAAGACTGGTCGGGTGGTCAAAACCACTGAAACTTTGGTATCTATAGCCACACTTCAACCACATTCGATTAAAGCGTGTAGCTTACGAACGGGGTGAACGAGGTGAATGGAAATATTGTGACGTCTTGTGTGCGTCCGACCCGTGTCAAAACATGCCATAATATGCTAGACACTTCACACAACACGTTGGACGTTGATTAACGAATCCACAGATATTTATGCATTTAGCATTAAAGAATACAGACGAACGAAATTCGGTGAAGTTATATAAGTATAGCTTCGGAGTGAGAATGAGTAACGACAAAAAACAGGGAAAAAAACAAATGCCGAAAAAATGGAATCAATAGTACTTAATCCAAAGGTAAAAAAAAAGGACAACTTAATGTATAACGAAAGGCACTTGGTTTTAAATGCTAAGCACATAAATTGATAAATATTGATCTACTGAAAGATTAAGAACTCATAATCTCATCTTATCTCTTTAACATAATAACCAATAGCAGGTTTGATTATAAAATCAATTGTGGTGAAAATGCACTTAGCACGGGCATGATATAAATGAATTTATTTACGTTCTCTGGCACGGGTAAGAAATAATCTAATCTCTAATTAGACCACTGAAGTGATTTCTTTATTGACTTCCGTCAGAGAATGAGACTCGTTGCATGAAATCAAACTTGATTTCGTATCGTAAAAAATCCAATGTATTCAAGGGTGAGTCTAAGGAAATAGATATTTGGAAGAAATATTATCGTAAATAGATAAGTTTCTTGATCTAATCTGCTCGCTTCAAAACCTCTTCATATACATGTGTTTCTCTCTTTTAGAATTTTAAATTTGTAAAAATGTTTGTTTTAAAATGAATTTTTATACCCTGAACAGGGTATATTAAGTTTGCCACGAAGTTTGTAACAACCAGAAGGAAACGACATAGACCCTTAAAATATATATTATATAAATTATCAGCATGATGAGCTGAGTTGATTTAGCCGTCTGTCTGTATATATACGAACTAGTCCCTCAATTTTTAAGCTGTCGTTTTGAAAATGTGCACCTGTTCTTTCCTCACTAAGATGCTGCTCATTTGTCGTAACGGCCGATATCGGACCACTATAGCATATAGCTGCCATACCAACTAGCATATAGGATGTGGTATATTTGTGACCATATTATATTTTTATATAAATATATATAATATATTTACGATATTTATATAAATCTATACTTAATGGTCAGCAGTGTATATATTTTATTAAGATAATTTAAATTAAAATATATGATTGATTGTGGCAAGAGCATTTATGCGTATATTAAGAAAGGCGACAAGTAAATAACACTTCCAAAATACTTTATTTATTTATGCTCTTCGCACAAACAGATATTTATTATTTTATTTATGAGCCTCATTTTCGTAATTTTTTTAGCTGCATTGTAAAGAGAGTAAGCTGTAATTATTTCAACTGTATTACCCTTAGTAAACTGTTTTATACTCTTATTTGAATTTGTATAAACATGAAAAAACTTAAACAATATTAAAAAAAATATTTTGTCAATAGAAATAAAATTAGCATTAAATATTTACAGAAAACGGACTGAGTAAAATACTCAAGAACTGCCAGAAGTTTTAAGAACATGAAATATGACATTTTGAATGAATTAAGCTAACTTCTTGTTAAGAACTGAGAAAAATTCTCAAAACTAACATTTACATTACAATCGTATATATTGAGGTGACATCAAATATATTGAGGTTTTTATATTTTATGACAAAACAGAATATTTTAAATGTATTTTTTACGTTCTCATATGCTTTTATAAAATATATTACACATTTTAATTTTTTGGGTATTATTAATATTAATAATTTTCATGGCCACTGAAAATGCATTAAACTATTTCACAACGTTTTTGAAATTAATAGTAAATTGTTTAATCTCCATATATTTTTATTATCAGTGGTACCGCAGAGTTATCGCACATACGTATGTATATATTGTACATATTCATTTGCCCTTTAATCTGTCTTAGGCAATCATTACATATATTCTGAGTTTCCACATTGACTATTTATTGCTTTATTTGATAATGAATCTAACGACAAAATATAAGCAAACCAAAAGTTTATTAAAAAATACCGCCAATGTTAAAAAAAATAATTCATGTATATATAAAGAGATGTGTACTCTCAAGAATGTTTATTTGCTCAGGAAATTATAGGGTGAAAATCAGAAGACACATTCGTTAAATTTAGTACTAAGATTGTAATATTCAAAGGGAATATCAATCACTTATTTTTTACCCGGCTTGTTAAATTTTACAATAATTTTTATTCTTTGTTACATATTAAAATTTTTATGCATGTTGCCCTACACGTCAGCTAGTAATTTTTGCGTAATTTAGCTAAATTAGTTGCATTAACATATCATCTATGTAGTTCATAGGTTAAGGCGATATTCTGAAGTAAAAGTAGTCACTGGTTTTTTTTTGCTTTATTGATCACTCACAGGTCGGGCAGCCGACGGTGTGCACAACGTTGCAGTTATCATAATATTATTTACGCTACTAGCACAAGTGTACTCCAAGGGTGAAATTCTATTTTGAATAGTTGCATTGGTAATAACAAGCCTTGTTTCCGTTTGTCTCTGGATGAAAAACTAGCACATAAAAATAATGTTCCAGCAGCAAATATACAGATAAATGGCTTATTACAAAATACTTACACTACTTAAATAAAATGAATAAGACACAATAGGAGAAATTATGAGAAGGAGTTACGTCGACTATGTTGATCATGCAAAAATATTATTTTGCGCTCGCGTTGTGTACCGGTATGAATTTTTTTGTGAAAATGAAATACTATTTTTGATTGGGAGAAATTGACCAATGCTTTTTCCAAATTTTGGCCACCTTACTGGAAATTTATGGATACCATGCCATTAGAAGGTTCGTCTTTTGAAGCGAACCGCTAAGACACCCAATTTTGGACTTCTGCGTAGGAATAGATGTAAGTGCTAAGCCAATGCGTATCCCATCGACGAAAACAAATGGTAATCGGAAGGTGCCAAGTCTGGTGAATACGACGGGTGGGGTAGCAGCTTCCAGCCTTTCTTTGATTGTATCCTGAACCGTTTTTGATTTGTGTGCAAATGAATTGTCGTGTAACAAAATTACTTTGCCGTGTCTTCTAGCCCATTCTAGTCATTTTTCGATCAATGCATGGTTCAAATTGATAATTTGTTGTCTGTAGGGATTAGTCTCAAAATTATTATCTCGGTGTTGCTTCTGGTAGAGCATGATCAACATTTGCCTCGACAAGCATTCGATGCGACTCTGCAACACTTGTCTTCAAATGGAAACAAAAAATTAAAGCTTTCCGCAAATCATCACTTTCCGGTGCAAAATTTGACATTTTCAACACAATGAAAAAATATGATGTTGTTTTTTCAATGACTGTAAGGTTATTGAATATGTTTGACAGATGTCATGCCAACCAAACATAAAAAAAATTAAGGCTCGTGCACAACAAATGTTTCCTACCAACACATTTGTTTCATAACGCTCACTTCATACCCGTTCAGCTGGTATTTATTATTATTTTACTTTGTTTGAACCTGAATAACCTAATATTTATTGACTTTCTTTAACGAATAATATAACATGTATGTCCCAAATGAGATAAAAGACAACACACTGTTTACACTACTAGCAAATATGGAACCTTATAAAAATATTTTAGCTAGCTACAAAATTAAACACCTTCGAAACTTTGTCATGACTTTTTCTAATAAAATAAATTACAATAGTTCTAAAAATATATTAAGCCTATAGTAAACTGACTATTTGGTACTATTTTAATTTGTATATATTATCTCTTTCATTATGTGATTGTAATAATTAAATGTTTTATATTATGTCATATTATTTGCACAATAATTTAAAATATATTTTTATCTTTATATGTTTTATTATCCAAAGTTAGTTTGCTTTCATTTTTAATTAATAATAATATTCATATTGTTTGTATATTTCCATCTTAAATGGAAATTCTTTATTTTTTTAAGCATATTTTAAATAAAGTTTTATGCATCCTACCTGCGATAGCCATCCATGGGTAGAAAGTATGGTTGGTGGCTTGATGTAAGCTACTAGCACTCTGAGCCGCTGCCGCTCCAGAAATTGTGCAATTTGCGTTCCATGCGGTACCTGCTCCGCCAACACCAACACCACCTACGCTGCTAACACCGCCAGCGCCACCTTGACCGGCACTGACGACTCCACCACCAGTTCCACCGCTTCCGCCTCCACTGCCACCTCGATGGCTTACCGGGCTCCCACCTGAAGTATCCAAGTACCCACCAACACGGGAGTCTGGAGTGCAAGCGGATGGACGCACTGGCATGGCACCAGTAGGATTGTTCTGTCCGTTATTATTTGACCCGTTCGAACCACCACCTGAGCCCCCACCTCCTCCAGAACCACCGCCGCCTACACCATTCGCGCTGGTATTCCAGATATCTTTGTAACCATTGACCACTGAGTCGGCTTTGATATTGAGACAGTCCTGTTTGTAGGCGCCTTCGCTGTAGATTTTATTACAAGCTGCTGTGATACTTGCGTCGTAGGGAGAATCTTGTGTGGTGCGTTGTAAGTGATGATTGGCATAAGGCGACATGCCCAAAGAGAGCGGAAATCCACGATAAGCGGCTGCAGCCGCTGTTGCTGTCTGATCATGGTGACCTCCAGTACTCATTGTCATACCGGATGTCTGATGCGGGTGGCTGTAAAAACCAGCCGAAGCCTGTTCAAAGTAGGAATTCATACTGCCAGCGGTAAGAATTTTGGCGGTTGTAGTGCAGTCTCAGGAGAAAAGCTAAACCTGATTAGATTCTAGCTTGGGTTGGAGTTACTTGCCGCGGCAAGGTATTTGCTGAGGGGCTTTTTGCTTAGTATTTTATTTTATAAATTTTATATGCGTGGCGAGATAGTATGTTAGGATTCACCTAAGTTTAAATAACTTCCCGATTTTGTTCATTTGGTTTTTCGAAATTAGTTCTGACACAAATTTACATAATCCCTTTGAGTTGTGATTTGTTTTAGTATAATTAACTTATCTTATTTGTTAATTTTTTTAAGAATGTTAAACACTGTTTGGAATTCAATCAAATTTTTTTTTATCATAAGTAAATATTGTGAAATTGGCAATATAAACATGTATATAATAATTAAACCCAAAGTTATACAGTTAATATGCATTCGTACTTGATGTCGTAAATAACTGTGTTATTCTGGTAATTTTTTGAACACTGGCCTTTTATTAATTCCACTTCATTTAATTATTGTTGCTATATAAAACATTTACTATCACCAAGAATTTTTTTTATTGTTTTTCACACAAACACTATTGAGTAAATTAATTTCGTTGTACTCTTAAAGTTTTATTTATCAATCGGCCAACCCGGCTCATGGAAACGTCATCAGCATAACACTACGAACAACAACCACAATCAACACAATAATCGTTAAAATAATAGTAATAGCGACAATAATAATAATAATCAAATTTATTAGCGTCAATGCCACCAAACCGAGATTTCGTTACGAACGCTGCCGCAGCACTGAACAACTGTCTAACTCACCGCCTGACTACCAGACGACTGTTGCTGTTACTACTGCTGTCGTTTGCGTTTTCGTTTGCTGTGCAGGCTTCTATTCGTCACTGCCGCGATTCTATATTACTCTAATTTGACACAACTGCACTGCAGCACACTGAACGTCGCAGCGCTTTGATATTCGTCGTCTTACGATAGCGTTGTGATAGCACTCCGATAGCGAAATATTCGCCGAATCAAAACACTGTCAATGGCACTAAAACGCTACCGTCGTTGTCGATGTTTTCGTCGCTGTCACTATCACTTTTGTTTTTACTGAATAGTATCAAACAGTGAATCGAGCGTTAAAAGACCACAGTGGCAATAACAATAAATGGTGATAAAGTGGATAATAAAACAATGCGCTCGCTTGCTGCTCCAATCCGAACCGTTGCCATTGAACGAATGCGCCATCAAAATGCCAGTTTGTTGTATTTTGACTGACGTCGATTACGTTTACAATATACCCAACAACGTCTAGCACGACGAAAGCGATGAAACGGCCTAAACCATAACTACAATTGCCACAGCGACGATGATGACGTCGACGATGGTGAGAGAAACAGCGAGAAACTTGCACTCTGTTGTGCTGTTGTTGAGCTATTCTGCCGCTCTGTTGTGGTCGCTCTGTTTTCGCTCCACCAACGAAATATTAATGAGGAAAAGAAAGGCAACACACTGCCACCGCCACCACCATCGCAGAGATAAATAGATATCAGTACCTCGCCACCTCTACAACCACACGTATGGCAGCAGACAAAAAACAGAGCAAACATATTTAAACAGAGCGCTGAGAGGATCAGATCAAAGAAATTTGTAGCTGGGAGTAGAATCGAGTAAGTACAGGGTTGAACGGAAAGGGTAGATGAGAGCAGAGGCAATATACATATATGTATACGTATATATACTATAAACATGCCTGGAATAAACTACCATTTCTATGTAGAACACAGGGCTGGTATACTTCTCTGGGTTTAATACATAATGTTATCAGTTGAGTTTAGTTTGGCTGTTGATAAGGACGTTCAGAGTTGTGGAAAATGCTGTTAGAAAGTTAAATATCCCATAGCTTGCACAGATAAATATAATCTGTTGTTAAATATAAACATATGTAAAAATTATTAATATTTTTAATAATTTATTTGTATTCGTACATACATACATTGGAATGAAATGTCACTACGCCTTCAGTTGGATTAATCAAGTTCGAGTGTATACATTGCGAGCTATACAAACTGTAAGCGCGCACAAATCTATAAAGCGAATATTTACATAACAGGATAAGTAGTTAAAATGCCGTTATTTTCTAGCTATGCATAAATTCCATGACGATGAATTTTTTCTAGAGTCAAAATGCAAACCAACAAAGCCGTCATTCAAACTGTAGGCATTGACTTTGTTGTTGGCTAGTTATTAGGGCCGCCTCCTCGCCTACATTTTGAGTTATATTAGCGCTCATTTTACTCAGCAACGAATGAACAAACAATGAATTAGGGTTCGAGTTGTTTGCGACAAGGGACATGTTTGAAACGAACACGTTTGAAACACACTGGTCCGAGTGAAATATGCTCTTTTACATGTTATCTGTTTGAGCAAATTCGCCAACTAGTATTTAAGTTTGAGTTCTATAGTAGGATTGCATTTATTACAAATAAGCATACAGTATATAAATAAATATATCAATATGAAGCAACTGATCTTTTCCTGTTGCAATGTTTATAACTTGAAATAATTCCATGATATTGCAACCGTGACCTCAGTTATCGGTTCTTAGTTAAATTAAATGTATTTTTCATCACAGTTACCACATATATGTTTATATAAAAAATACTCTGAAATGTTTACAGAGCGTTTACAATTATATCGTTAAATAATTTTTGTCTTACATCGTTTCGGTAATTCGACAGATTTATAAGTTACAGATAGTTAAGTATTTTTGAGTATTAGCCCAAGAGCGTTTGGTTCAAAGAAGTATGATATGGCTGTTGATAAGGACGTTCAGAGTTGTGGAAAATGCTGTTAGAAAGTTAAATATCCCATAGCTTGCACAGATAAATATAATCTGTTGTAATATATAAACATATGTAAAAATTATTAATATTTTTAATAATTTATTTGTTGCAATTTCCAAATTAAATTTTGTGTATAACAGTGGTAAAAGAAAACATCATAATAAGAATATGAAGCTCGAGATAAATATGGCGCAAATATGGTGAAAGGCAAATAAGCTGTTCGGATACGGTATTTAATGCGACTGCCATGTATCATTTTTATTTTAAATTAAACAAAGATTTTTTGAGACATGAACACTACACACTTACACTTAAGTGAGTTTTGCAACAACCATTATCCAATTGGTCCAACGACACATATCAATTATACTTTTCAAAATAAATACTAAAATATCTATAATTAATATTTATTTTAAGGGTTATAGTAAATAGATTTATTAAATTTATTGTTGTATTAAAGAAGTAAGGAAAGATATTAAACAAGTTCGGTTGCAGCCAAACATTACTTAGAAATTCAGACGAGAGCAAAAATTTATAATACAATGTGCATTTGTTCAATTTTAGCACAAACCATATTATTTCTAAAATCACATGTTCACTTATAGTCCTTTAAATGCTTTCCATATTATTCGATATATTTGGTTTTAGAATAACCAGAAAGGCTGTAATCATTATATTGGGTATATGGGGACTAGAGTAAGATCTGATTAATTTCATTTACTGCATTAAACTAGAGAATACTCTAGAAAATATTTCCACTATATTTTATTAAGATAATTTATATTTTGACTCATACGACCGGTGTAAAGTCAACTAGAATAAATAAAATTATTATATGAAAGGTATGGGAGCGGAGGTAATTCGTGAACCGATTTCACGCATGTTCTGCACTAAACTATATTAAATCGAAGGTAATATATTACGTTCCCTTAATTTTGTTAAGATCTCTTCATACCAACAGATAAACATATATGAAAATAGTCAAGTAGACTAACGAAAATAATTAGTAAATGTACTGAACCGATTTTACCTACAAGTATTTAGGGGCCGGCCATATTATTGTCAGGAAAATATGTTCACGAAGTTTGATGAAGATTTCTTAAAAAGTACTGACATTTTCCACGAAGTTTCTAATACCCAGAAGAAAACGTCGGTGGCCCCAAAAGATATATATGTGTGTATATAAAAAGAATCCGCGTGACGAGCTGAGTCGATTTAGCCATGCCCACTTACCTGTCCCTCTGTCCGTCCTTTATATTCCCAAGAAACTACTTATTTAACGAAACTTTCGGCACATTAAGCATATAAAGATATCTAAATCATACACCGTGCAGCACTATCTATTGAAATATAGTAGCTAATAGCTTGTAAAAAAAAATTGTAGTAGTAATAAGATACATTCATTATTTTGCAAACGCGCCTAACTTCATCTTAATCGGATATTACAGTTCGAGAATGTTCGCTGAGGGATTAAATAAGAGTAAAAACACTATTTAGAATTTTAACTGAATATGTGGGTAAAAGAAAGGTTTATGCGCGTTTTGAGAGTACTTTTTGTGGAATAATTGTGACTTGGTTATGGCACTTATAAATGTTAAGTTTAACAGTATTTCTTCAAAATATCTCCGTTTGTACTCAAGTTATCTAACGTACGTACGGGCAGATAAAATAACAGATCGGTAGATAAACATCGGAAAATCAATTCGACTCATCGTTCTGATAAATATGTTTCTAAAATTATCCCGAAAATGAAATTTTGAAATAGAGACTTTCTTGTGTTTTAAAATAATAATTATTGGCTTTACTGTATTGATAATGGAATTTGTTTTTAATTTTTTATTACTGCTGATAGTGCACACGTCACCTTAAGTTTTGCTACTTTGAAGATAATGTAAGACCAAATATTGTAGAATCATAATATCATTTTCGGCAAAACCTCAAAAGAACATTCTTTTTCTTTTCTTATATAAATTTAAGTTCCTTTTTTTATAATATACTAATGTATATCCACAATTTGAAGAGGATCATTGCTCACTTTTTTACGTTACTTTTCCCCAGCTTTCATTCCCACCTCTATTCTGCAGCTCAAAAAGCTATTTTAAAATACACTTCATAACATCAGATTTATTTAAAGAGCTATCACTGCAATTTCAGCCCAATACCGCCCTAGGCACATATCAACACTTCACCAAATCAGACAGTGTACTCTGTTGTGTATTCGGAATAATTTAATCAAACAGGTGCCGGTTAATTATATGTACATATTGTTGTTAGAACAAACAAATAGAAACAATGAATGCATGCAAGTCAAAACATTAACTTGCAAAATACACAACAACGCTACTGCCAATCTTAATTGTATTTATTCTCTAAATAAAACCATAAATACTAATCGAATAAATTCTATTCCTTGTTTGTTAACTGCAAGATTTTGGCTACTGAAATTTTCTAGCATGCAGTACGTATACACAAGTATTTAGATATGTGAAAATATATTCTTTGGCAGTGGCGACGGCTGCAGTTGAAATGGCTTTTGATCTTTTTCGGTTATACGTATAGTGCGCGGTCGGCTGTTTTCTGTTTGTATTTCTGGGTTAAGCGCCTATTCTCGCACATCTTTTGATGTTTATTATGGAAGCGTCGCGACGTAATCAAGAGGCAGGAATGAACCAACGTATGTTCGTCGGGTGGTCGGCCATCAACTGATGCTTTATTAGCTTGGCAAGTGTCGACATGCGATTTGTTGTAGCCGCTAACAATATGGGTAAATGTAAACTGTTACTAATGGCTAATTAAACAGTGGGAGTGGTAATTGAATTGAGTTTAATCAGATTTATGCAGCAAATGGGAGTATCGCCGTTTTAATGTTGTGATGTGTGAGATAACTGAAGAAATATAGGAAGAACAAGTAAGGAAGGGCTAAGTTCGTATGTAACCGAATATATTATACTCTCGCAAAGTCAAATGGTATATTCGTTTTAGATTTCTATGTTGACCGATATTTACGGTAACAAGTCAACTATAGGTACTGGGGTTCACATATTCAGTACCTAGGAGCTTGAACAGTTTTGGTTCAATATAGACAATTTTTGGTCACAAGCAAAGTTTTACGCCGATACAATCACTGTTGCGTGATTTGCATAGTGGAAAGTTAAAGAATCAAGTGGAATTTAAAATGCTCTCATATGGGAAATAGGCGTGGTTGTAATCCGATTTCTCCTATTTGTGCACTATAACATAGAAACAGAGTTTGGTTGAAATCGGTTAAGCAGTGCCACATGTATAAAGTAATCTCATACCATTCCTAAGATAAAATTTAATATCTCTGGCGTGTTTAGTGCTTGATTTATCGCGCATTTAGTAGTTTTTAACAGTACCGTTATATGGGGAGTGGGCGGGGTTGTCACCCGATTTCACCCATTTTCACACTGTGAATTTTGTTATTATAGCTTTAGCGGTTTAGGAGATATGCACATTAAACTTATTAGGGGG